GTGTGCTTTAAGCGTCTATTACCTTAAAGAAGTAGAAAGGAGCCTGTTTGAGGACACTGATGATCCAAGGAAAGGTCCTCTGGGAGCTGTAGGCGAACAGCACCACCTCCAGACAGCACGCCATCAGGGAACAGTGGAAGATATCCTGCTCCAGCAAAACCTGACAACACAAACACACCTTTAAACTTGAGCCAGAGACTCTACAGACATCTGTGTTAGCATTCTTCTGTGTTTTCACTACAGTCTGGCTTGCTGCCCGGGTTTTGGGGGTGCTCGTTATAAATTAGCTGCGTCTTCAATCCGTGCATCTCATCCAGTAGTTGACAACTGCATAATCATTTCTGTGACTGACATATGAGTGAGAAACACTTTGAGTCTGATGCTACTACACAACATAAATTTATATTTAATTATACATACAGGCCTCATCAGATGAGGAATGATGTCAGTGTTGTGTGGAGAACAATCTATGTTGAGGTAGGATAGTAAAAATGACTTGTAGTGTGCGAGTGGCTCATTATTGTATGAAACACACTCTGACTGCTGCTTACGCTCATGTCTCTGCCAGGCAGCCGTCTGGTCTCCTGGACCATGACGTTCTCCAGGATCTTGTAGTAGAGGATCTCAGCCAGCTTTAAACGGTTCTCTGCAAAGTCTGGAACAAAAGACACACATGCATTTATGCTTTACAGGGATTTTGGTGAGTCTGACAGCCAGCATAGTTTAATTAATATTAATACTATTTTAATTCATACTGTAGAAAAATGATTCAGTGATCGGAGTAGAAAAGTGCACAACAGTGAGCTTCCATTAGTCATCACCAAAAACCTCTCGTCTGTTAAAAACTGAAGACGCCTGTCCTCAAACCACCGTCTGTGTTCTACCTATATGAGAGCCGGGCGTGTCCTCCGAGTCGTTGGTGTAATGTTCTTTGAAGGTTTGTCCCAGTGTCTTCACCCGGGTCAGTATGGACTCTGTGGGATCTCTGGAGCAGGACCTTCAA